GTCGGGGCGCCTGCTGGTCCTTTCCTGGACGTGAAGCCCTGGCCGCCATTGTACGACCCCTAGCATGGTGTTAACGTGGGTGCCCTCGGGCCCTGCTCGCCCCATTACATACAGCCTGTCCACCGCCTGGTGGTCATCAGTGGCTCGTGGAGCACCTGCTAGCAGCCTGCCAGACGTTGTGTTGGCCGTCGAGCCGAAAACGATCTATTCCGCCCTAACGGAGCTCACCTGTTGGGATCATATATAGCGATTCTGACTTGGGAGCGCCCTAGGGTTAAGAGCATGCACTCTGGCATCATTTTGGCTGCAAAGCTCAGTTCCACTATATATGGTCCAGTAACTTCAGGCAAATGCCTTAGTTCTTGTGTTTCACTATCTATAGTCGGAAAATAGAATAAAACCTACTCGTGAACTTGTGAAGATTAAGTAATAGCACATTTAGTGCAATGGCTAGCACATAAATATCGGTTACGATTGTTTTTCTTAGTCTTTTAAGGTGGTGGATCTTGGCAGATCAGGGTAAGTCCCTTCTTGCCCGGGCATCCCCTATCAGAGCTCCCGCTGGGGTCCCAGCTGCTCAGCTTCTGATCCAGCTTCCTGCTAATGCTCCTAGGAAAGCAGCTTAACATGGATCAAGTACTTGTCCCCTGTACCCACGTGAGAGACCCAGAGGGAGTCCTCAGTTCCTGCCTTCAGCTTGGGCCAGCCCTGGTTGTTGCAGGGGAATGAATTATCAGTTGGAAGATGTGACTGTGTGTCACTCTGTCCATCAAATAAATCTTTTTCAAAACATAAGAGAAATCTGAGTAGAGCAAATCAAGACTGTCAGAGCTGGAAGAATCTTTAAGAGTCTCCTGGAGTACAAACCGCAGCCCTCCGGCAGAATTCAGCCCTGAGAAGTTGTGTCAGCAGAATACCGGTAGGGGAGCCAGTCTCTCCACTTATGTAGTCCCCACCCCTTTTACCCTTTGGCCTACTCTGCTCTTGAAAGTTCTTTGGCCAGCTCTTCGCCAATCCGGTTTGCTTCCTTTGAATTCTAAACAATTGCCCTTGGTTTTTGTATTTTAAGATGGGGACATAGACTTAGATGTGTGTGAATAATGATAACCAAAGTTAACTTTCACTTTGTGCCAAGTATTATCTTTTCACTTTTTTAAAAGATGTTTATTTATTTATTTGAGAGGTAGGGTTACAGACAGAGAGGGAGAGACAGAGAGAAAGGTCTTGTATCTGCTGGTTCACTCATGGCCCCAAATGGCTGATCTGAAGCCAGGAGCCTGTAGGTCTCCTACGCAGAGGCAGGGACCCAAAAAAGCTGGATCAGAAGAGGAGCAGCCAGGACTAGAACCGGTGCCCGTATGGGATGCCAGGGCCACAAGCAGAGGCTTAGCCCACTAATGCCACAGCGCTGGCCCCTATCTTCACATTTGCTTCAACCTAGGACGTAGGTACTTTCTTATGGTCCTTTCACAGGCAGGAAATTGAGACTGCAAGAGAGAAATTTACTGGGCAAGCCTGAGATGTATTAAGTGATTTCAATCTAAGGTGTCATAGCTCTAGAGTCAGCTGAAATGTGATGAGATTAGGAGGAGACAGGAGAGCATTCCAGGCAGAAATAACCCAAGGCAAGGGTTGGGCGGAAGGCGAGAACCCTCCCTTCAGTGAGTGGAGAGTGTTGGGAGAGGACCTCAGACTGAAGTATGATGGCTTTGACCATGCAAGATGGAGGTGCTAACCTTGGAACAAGCTGAGTTTGCCCACTTCCCTTCACCCCCACGCCACCACCCTCATCCAACTTATGTCATCTCTCCTGGAATCCCCAAAAGCCTCTTAACCACTTTCATCACCATTTATATTGAGAGAAAATATGAAATAATCTCAATAGAATCTTCCCTGTCTTCCGAGTGATTGTTCTGGAATGTGAATGATCATCTCCAACATGCCCCTGCTCAAAACCCTCCAGGAACTTCAAGTTTGCTCTGAGGATAAAATGGAAAATCCTTAACATGACCCTGGGGCATAGCTTTTGCCCACCCTCCCAGCCTCTGCTTGTGTTGTTCTACCTTTGCCTATTCTTTTCTCCATTTTTCCCATTTTTTGTTTTATTTATTTATTTATTTATCATTCATCCCTGCAGAGAGAGCTAGAGTTCCCATCTGCTTGTTTACTCCCCAGATGCCTACAACAGCCGGGACAGGGCTAGGACTCAGCCAGGAGCCAGGAACTCAACCCAGGTCTCCCTTGTGAGTGGTGGGAAGCAGGCACTTGAGCCATCACCACTGCCTTCTGGAGTCTGCATTAGCAGGAAGCTGGAGTCAGGAGCCGGAGTTGGGCTTAAAATCCAGGCACTCCCTGATGGGACACAGGTGTCTTCACCACTTGGCCCCCTTCTGCCCATTGCCCCTTTTGCTATATAATAACACTGGCTGATATTTGTTAAGCCTCCTCATATGTGTCTGGTTGTTTTATTTTTCAAGTCTCACTTAGCTTAAACATCATTTTCTTTCTTTCTTTCTTTTTCTTTTCTTTTTTTTTTTTTTTTTTTTTTTTTTTTTTTTTGACAGGCAGAGTGGACAGTGAGAGAAACAGAGAGAAAGGTCTCCCTTTTACCATTGGTTCACCCTCCAATGGCCGCTGGAGTCAGGTGCTTCTTCTGGTCTCCCATGCGGGTGCAGGGCCCAAGGACCTGGGCCATCCTCCACTGCACTCCTGGGCCACAGCAGAGAGCTGGCCTGGAAGAGGGGCAACCGGGATAGAATCCAGTGCCCCGACTGGGACTAGAACCTGGTGTGCCAGCGCCACAGGCGGAGGATTAGCCTATTGAGCTGCAGTACCGGTAAACATCATTTTCTCAGAGAGGTAGCCCTGACCCTCCCACTCCCACTCTGTCTAGAGAAGGTGTCTCCATCCACTCCCCCAGTGCCTCAGTCTTTGTTCATGTAACTGAGCATGCATTTGATCATGAATGTGTTTCTTTTCTTCTTTTTTATTTAATTAATGTATTTAAAGAGTAAGGCCTGTCTGTCACTACGTGTTAAGCTCCTCCAGTCAATGATTGTGTCTTTGCCCATTGCTGTGTGTATACGCAGTGTTTAGCACAGGCCCTGCCTATACTAAATTTCCAGTAAGTGGGGCCAGTGTTGTGGAACAGTGGGTTTGGCACTGGTTCGAGTCCTGGCTGCTTCACTTCTGATCCAGCTCCCTTGCAATGCTCCTGGAAAGCAGTGGAAAATGGTCCAAGTGCTTGGGCCCCTGCCACCTACATAGGAGACCCAAATGGAGTTCCAGACTCCTGGCGTTCCAGCCCAGGCGTTGTGGTCATCTGGGGAGTGAACCAGTAGATGGAAGATATCTCTCTCTCTTTCTCTGTCTCTCTCTGTCTCTCTGTAACTCTGCCTTTCAAATACATAAGTCTTAAAAATTTTTTTTGACAATTTGGAAGAAAAAAGTTTCCAGTACGTGTTTGTGGGTGAACAGATGCGTTAGAGGATGTGGATCAGAACGGGCTCTCCATTTCACTGGGAGGCACCCCCACATGCAGAGACCCCACACAGCCACATGTGCCTGGGTGGGGCTCCTTGGACTCGTGAAAAAGTTTTCACCGTGAGCACAATGATCTAATTCAGCTTAAACTTTATTGGTTTGGCTCCCTTGGGGTGCCCTGGAGTGAGGCTGAAGCAGGGGCTGAGTAAGCAGAGGGCAGAGTCCAGTCCTGAGCCGGCTCAGTCAGTGTCACGGAGACCTGGGGAAAGGAGAAGAGGGGTGGACCTAAGGGTCGTTATCGACTCAGATCAGCCCAGCAAGTTTATTTTGGCACTCGGCCACAGTCACACCTCGCCTGCCTCCACATCACCTGTTTAGTGGTAAGAGCTAAGTGACAAAGGTACAGAAGCTGTCACCCGCCTTCCTGCGGAGAGTTTCTCGTGCTCTTCTCCAGGAGGCCGGCCACAGCCACCTGCCCAGATTCGCTTCCCTCAGTCCCTGTCCGGTGTCAGGATTAGAATGTTCTGGATCTGTGTCTGCACCTGGAATGAGTGTTCTGTCTCTCCCATAGCTGGATGGGTCTCTCCATAGTGTTTAGGATTTAGTTGAAGAGTTTCCTTGGTGACAAGGTAGATTTAAGAGGCCATTGTGGCTGGCGCCGCGGCTCAACAGGCTAATCCTCCGCCTAGCGGCGCTGGCACACCGGGTTCTAGTCCCGGTCGGGACACTGGATTCTGTCCCGGTTGCCCCTCTTCCAGGCCAGTTCTCTGCTATGGCTCAGGAGTGCAGTGGAGGATGGCCCAAGTGCTTGGGCCCTGCACCCCATGGAAGACCAGGATAAGCACCTGGCTCCTGCCATCGGATCAGCACAGTGCGCCAGCCGCAGCGCGCCAGCTGCAGCGGCCATTGGAGGGTGAACCAACGGCAAAGGAAGACCTTTCTCTCTGTCTCTCTCTCTCTCACTGTCCACTCTGCCTGTCACAAAAAAAAAAAAAAAAAAGCCATTGTGATGGGGCCGGAGCTATGGCATAGTTGGTAAAGCCACCACCTACAGTGTTGCCATCCCATATGGGCGCTGGTTCGAAACCTGGCTACTCCACTTCTGATCCAGCTCTCTGCTGGAAAGCAGAAGAAGATGGCCCAAAGCTCCTGGCTCCTGGCTTCAGATCGGCACAGCTCCGGCCATTACAGCCAACTGGGGAGTGAACCAGCAGATGGAAGACACCTCTCTCACTCTCTCTCTCTCTTTTTCCCTGTGTAACTCTTTCAGATAAATAATTTTTTTTTTTTTAAAAAAAAGGCCATTGAGAGACCAACCATGGCTAGAGCGGGACAACCTGTTTCTCACTACAGGGCTTCCTGTCGCTGGGTACGTGCCATGTCCCAGGTGTGCAGAGGAGAGAGTGGCACATCACCCAGAGGAAGTTACCCAGGAAGTCCACGTGGGCACAACAGCTGCCAAGTCTCCTGAGCTGCTGGTACCCCTCAAACATGACCCTTGTCTCTGCACCCACATTTCTTTATTTAAGCCTCACAACAAACCGTTAGCAGGGCTTGGCCACATGCGCTGGGGGCAAACATCAGGATCCATGTCTGACCCCGAAGTTCAAGTTTACAAACCACTGGGCAGCACCACATCCTCCCACCTGCGCCTGCAGAGCTCTGTCTGATCCAGCACCCAGGCCAGCAGCTCCTGCATCAGCAAACCCCTCAGCAGATCTTGGTCGCCAGGGTTCTTGGGTGGCGAGCTGTGAAGGAGACAGCCTCTGGTGAACTGCTTTCGCCTAGGCCTCACCCAGGAGGAGTAAATACGGGGCCTGGGGCACCGAGCGGCCTGGGATGTGGGGGAAGGCGTCAACACAGCTGTCTCTCTCTTAGCTCAGACTTTGGGCCATTTTCTACCAGTTCCACCCAGCTCTGTCTGCTGGAGGAAAATGGGTTCCTCAAGATAGTGGTGCCTAACAGCCCATCCCCACCTCCACCAGCACCCCAGGACACATTTGAGGAGCCCCAGAGAGTGAGCATTCAGCCTGGCCACTAAGATGCCCCGTCCCACTTCGGAGGGCCTGGGTTGGCTCGTGACCCCAGCTTACTGCAAAGGCAGACTCTGGGAGGCAACAGGGATGGCTCAAGTAATCGGGTCCCTGCCACCCACGTGGAAGATCAGGATTGAGTTCACGGCTCTTGGCTTTGGCCTTGGCCCCAGCCAAACTCAACCCCAGCCTCTGCAGGCTTTAGGGAATGAGCCAGCAGGTGGAAGCTCTCTGTCTCTCAAAATAATAATAATAATAATAATAATAATAATAATAAGCCCCTAGAGATTGCTTTTGCTCTTTGGAACGCTGCCTGCTACAGAGTTCTGGTGTCCCCAGAGAGGGGTCGCTGATTTCAGAGGACTTGTCCTGGGAGGGTCCCCGTGTCACAAGCTGCCTGCCTGAGGTCTGGCAGGGAGAAGTGGGGAGCCAGGTCCGCGGTCTCTCCTGCACACGAAGTCAGTGATCTCAGACACACCTGGCTCTTGGCGCCCCTTGCAGGTGCCCCGTGTCCCCCCGGGCTTCTCCCTTGAGCTAGGGCTGACCCTCAGCAGCTCCCTCCAGGAATCTCTGAGAGGACGAGATGCTGCTCGGAAGCCGGGGTGGGGGTGGGGCGGGGGTGGCAGGGAACCAAGGGCGCAGGTCAGGAGGCTCGCCCCCCCACCCCCCCCCCCACACACTCCGGGACGCACTCACCCTGGCCGCTCGGCGGCCTCCTCATCACTCCTCTGGGACTGACCGGCCAGCTGGAGGGCCCGGGCCTCCCTCTGGGTGAGGTTGTGTCTCCAGCTGGTGAGACAAAGGTTAGGCAGTGGGTGGTGGGGGCCACATTGTCCCATATGCTGGAGTCTTGGCTGCCTCGGGCCTGGGGCACAGGGTACCATTTTCTCTCCCCCCCCGCCCCCAAACTTGTCTGTAGCTGCCTCCAGCAGGGAAGAGCTTTACAGAATCCACATACTGACCAGAGAGGGTGGGGAGAGACTCGGGAGAACAGGTAGCAGGACACAGACAATTGATTCCATTTCCAGTCCGAAGCAGCCACCGCCAAACCATCCTTGGGAGCAGTTCAGCTTCTGCTGCCGTCTACTCAGTCCCCTGGGGACCCTCTCTGAACCCCCCCCCCCCCATTCTCCTGAAGCCTCCCTGTGGGAGGAAGGCTTGCAGGGACTGCTCTCATCCTGCCCCCAGGCTGGACTGCTGCCTGCTACAGGGTCCTGGCCAGGGCCACCCTGTCCACTCCCCAGCCCCGCCTAGCAACAGTGCTGCCCAGGACAGTGGCCTGGTATGAAATGAACCCAGGCAGACAGAGCCTGGGCGCGGGGAACGGGAGCGGGATGGGGGACGCACTCGCTCTTCCTCCCCTTCTGGGCGAGCAGCCAGTTCACAAAGTCTTGTTGGCGGATCTTGTCCATGGCGATGCTGTAGTCGCTGATGAATGTGCCCTCGGCGTACCTCGGGCCTCGAGGCCGGGGGCCGCTGCCCTTAGGGTGGGATCTGAGAGGCGAGAGGTAGAACATGCCAGGGGAGGCACAGCAGGCCGGGATGGACGACTGTCCCTCACGGGAGGCACACAGGAGAAGAGGGGAAGCCAGCCCATCTCTGAGCAGTTGGTTTTCACAGAGACACCGCTTAGGTGCAGCAGACCCCCTGCAGCTGACCCCTAGACTCAGGGTCCCACTTCCTGCACCTTCAGTGTGTGTGGCTCTGAATTCTGAGCAAAGAGGGAGCGGGGCGGCCTCACCCCACAACACTGACTCTCACAAGTCCCCCTTTCTTCCTCTTGCCCAGCCCTTGTGATTCAGTTCTTTGGTTCACTGCTGTTGACAGCAGTGAACGCACGGGAAAGCACTGACCATGGTTCGGGTTCTCTGTTAGCCCTTTGCACAAGAAATCATCTCGTCTGGGGGTGAGCCAGTGGATGGAAGACAGCTCTCTCTCTCGCCCTCTCTGTAACTCTGACTTTCAAATAAATAACTTAATTAAAAAATAAATAAATAAAGCAATCATTGCATGCTCACAGCACCGCCACAGGCAGATTCTATTTATGTCCCTGTTTTGTCAGTGAGGGAACCAAGAGGCAGAGGCGGCAGGTGCAGGCCCTGCCCCCCGCAGTCTGGCCCGGGCCTGGCGCTCTGGCCCCTCATCCGCGCGGTGCTTCGCTCTCACAGATGTGTGTGGCCAAGAAGCCTGCCCTTGCATGGGAGAAGATGCAGCTCTTCCGCTGGGCGCATCTCTCTTGCTTCCTGCCACAGTCCCGCCTTCTCTTCTCCACCATTCTTCACCGTAGTCATGACAAAGTGCAGTTTGCCTGGGCGGCAGCCTGTCTGGGTCTCCCCGGGTTCACTCTCCCATCAGGAACACTTAGGCACTGGGAAGTCCTCGCAGAGGTCTAACCACCTTGTCTCTCCCTGCACGATAACTCGGCACAGATACGCTCTGCCTCCTGCTTAGTCCTCACTCTCGGCACTCAGGCCACGGGGAGGCTCTCCCTTTGGGCTTCTCTTCTCTGAGCCTGGGGCCCCTCCCTTTCGCATCCCTCCCTTGAAACAAGTCCAGAACTTAGTCATCACCCAACCCCCGCCCCGTCCCTGTCCCCCTCCCTTCTCAGCATCCCTACCTGGGGTGACCCTCTTCCTTCTCCCCATGCCCCAGTGCCAGGAACAGCAACACCAGCAGCAGAGAGCAGGTCTTCATGGCCACCATCTTCCAAGGGTTCCTTCCTGGGCTAAGAGAGAAAGAGCCAGAATGTGGTCAATGGGCTGTGCTGAGGGTTCTGGATTTGAGCCCTGGGATTTAGTCCTAAGAGGCTAGAGCTTCAATGGGGGTGTGGGCATTAGAGACAGCGCCTGGAGGGGCAGGGAGCCTGACCGAGGATGGCCCTGCCTGGGAGCCGATGTTTGCACAGCAGTTAGGACTCTCCTTGGGGACCAGGTGGTGTGATGCTGCGGTTAATCCACCACTTGTAACCCCTGCATCCCGTATCTCCGTGCTTGGTTCAGATCCAACCTCCACTTCCAATCCAGTTCCTTGTCAAAGTGTATTCTTGGAGGTAGTGGGTAATGGCTCAAGTATTTGGGTCCCTGCCCCCTGGCATGGGAGACCCAGCCGGAGTTCCCAGCTCCTGGCTTCAGCCAGGCCCAGCCCTGGGCTGTTGTGGCCATTTGGGGAGTGAACCAGTTGAGAGAAGAGTGAGCGCTCTCTCTCTCTCTCTCTCTCTCTCTCTCTCTAGCTCTGCCTTTCAAGTAAATAAATCTTGTATTAAAGTGTGAGAAGCGAAGAACCTGCTTTTTGTTTTGTTTCAAGAAGAGTCTGAATGAGGTATGAGGAAGGCAATGGGGGCACCAAGGAGCTGCACATCTGGTCCCCCGGCTCCAGCGCCCACTCCGCAGGCAGGCGCCTGGCCTTCCCCTGTTGGAACCCCTCAAAGGCCCTGTCCGTCAACCTTCCTGCATCCCCACTGGCTGTCATGGAAATCTTGGCAATTCCTCTTGCCCTGTAGGAAAGCCACACCCAGAGCCATCCTCTTCTCCTACCCCCCAAGCCTGACAGTCTCAGCTCAGGGGAAGTCCTTCCAGGAGTCTACCCTGTGCCCTTCTGGGGCTGGACTCCTTTCCTCCTGTGGGGCTTCAGGAGAGAAGAACTTTCCTCCCAAGCCCTGAAAACCTAAGCTAGACTTGGAGCTGTGGGGGCTGCAAGAGCCCCCCGCTCTGACTGCCTTTGCCATGCAGGTGGGAGAGGGGCCCGCATAGCTACCATCCCACTCAAGTGCAGGGGAGAAAGGGAGGTGCGGATGCCGAGCAGTTGGGCAGGGGGACGAGATCTGTCCGCTCTCAGTCGTGCTCCATCCCCTTCCCAGCTGCTCTCTTACCGGGCTTCCTGGTGGGCTCTCCACAGCACAGGGCTCTCCTCCTTCTGCCCCCTGCCCTTCGGAGCCTGCTTCCAGGACGGCTGCCTCCGTACCTTTATATCCAGTATCAAAGACCCACTGATTAGCCTAAAAGCATCTTATCTCCAGAAATGAAGCCCACGCGCCCACCGCCTGAAGTCCATCTCCCACAGAACACGGTTGCCCTTCCTGCCTGGGCGGTGCTAATTGGTGATTAACATTTAGTTATCTCCAGCTGCTGTCTGGAGCCTGCAGGCAAACAGGATACCCCAAGTACCCCCTCTCCCTGCAGGGTACAGGCCCACTGACCCTCTCTGCCTTCCTTCTCTCCTGGGTGAAGGCAGGCTTGGGCCAGGGTGGCCTTAGCAGGCAGAACAGGGCCACTCCCACAAGGCAATGGGCTGCTTCTGGATGCGAGAGTGCGGCCACAGTGGGCTGCACCCCAGCTCAGCAGAGTGGGGATGCGGTACTGCCCCCAAGGGAAGGGCAGGGGCTGGTCCCAGGAGGCTGGGAAAGGGGCTAGAGACCCCCGAGTTTCCCCAGGAATGGCTGGCTGAACTGAGGGCACACACTCAAGCTGTCCTCCTGCTTAGGGCAAGCAAGAGCTGGAGAAAGAGGTGTATTCCCACCTTGGGAACGTAGAAGGAGGGACCAGTTAGAACTTCTGTCAAGATTAGGAGACCCGCCGCCTGCAGTGCTGGCATCCCATATGGGTGCTGGTTCGAGTCCCGGCTGCTCCACTTCCAATCCAGCTCTCTGCTATGGCCTGGGAAAGCAGTAGAAGCCAACCCAAGTCCTTGGGCCCCTGCACCCGTGTGGGAGACCAGAAGAAGCTCCTGGCTCCTGGCTTCGGATCAGCTCAGCTCTGGCCATTGTGGTCATTTGGGGAGTGAACCAACAGATGGAAGACCTCTCTCTCTCTCTCCCTGTAACTCCATCTTTCAAATAAATAAAATAATGAATCTTAAAAAAAAAAAAAATCAGGAGACCCTAACCCCCTCTCTCCGAATGCCTCCCTCTCCTACATGAGATGCCCTGACTCCTCCAGGAGTGGGGCCCCAAGGTCCTGCTGTGCCTCTGCCTCTTGCTAGAAGACCGGGGATCTCTGAGCGGGGGACTGCGACAGCGGCTAAGCCCTCCCTGGGCGCTGCAGCTGGCTCTGTGCACAGGGGCTCGGCTCAGTCCAGCTGGCCAGAGCACAGATCACATTTGCAGCGGACACCCAAGGCTCCTTCCCAGGCTCCCCCTTCTCAGTTCCCGGTGGGTACCTAGAACCATAAAGTGTCAGGTTCGTGCTCTGCCTGCTAGCTCCAGGGCCTAAGAAAGGCCACTTTTCTTCCAGGTGGATTCCCTAGCCTGGGAGCCGATCTAGCATGAAATTAAGTGTGTGTGTAGGATGAGAGGTACCTGGACTGGGAGGGTCACTCACCCCTGCTTCTTAGAAACCTCGCCCACCTGCCCACCCACTCATCCTTGAGCGGGTGGAAAGTCTCCCCGGGCGAGCTCACCCCGTCCCATATCCCAGCTCCCGATGGGCAGAGATTAGCTCTCAGTTCGGACTTGACCTCCCAGGGGCTGCTGGTGATCTTGTTTCTGCTGTCAAGCCCTGAGCACTTCTGCCTGGAGGCAGAGAGTGTCCAGGAGCAGGGACATCATTTTGCTGGGACCCAGGAAGGCTCTGTAGTGGGTTCCAGCAGCCCCGAGACCCCGGCTGGCCCCCTCTGGGTGAGTTTTGAGGGTGGGCTGCTTGGAAGGCCAGTTGTGTTTTCACTTCCCACGCCACCCTCTCTCTGCAGTCTGCTCCAGACTTCTCTTTGATCTTTCGTCCTCACGCCCTGTGGTGGGCAGCCCAGGGGGCGAGCCGGCCTGCATCGGCGCAGGGGAGGGTGCCAAGCCCAGAGCTCGAGCTCACATTCACAAGTCCCACGCTCCCTGGGAGTGGTGGCCGTGCATTGCAGGGAAGAAACACAGGCTTCCCTTCATTGGCCTCCTGCAGAGTGGACGAGATCAGAAGAGAAGAAGCCAAACTCCCAGGGGGTCCCCAGAAGCCTCTCCCACAGGGCATGTTAAAAGGGAGGAAAAAAAAAAAAAGACCTGGGGATGTTTCTGGGAATTGGAAGGCTGCTGGACTTGATCAAAATAGCTCAATAAATCCAACTGGCAGCCCAGCCTGCCTGGCCGGGGCTGGCGTGCAGAGTCCTGTGCAGGCTTGGGGCACGGGAAGGCCTGGGGGAGGTGGCTGAGCACCCCCTGCCTTCCCAGATGTGAGTGGTCAAACAGGACCCCAACTGGCCTGAAGCCCAGCCAGGGGCCAGGGGAGCCTGAGGGTGGTGGGAGTCAGAGCATCAGCAGGGTAAGACGAGGGGGAACAGGGTCATGGGTGGTCCTGCTGGGAGAGGACCCCAAGCTCTCGTCCCAGCCTCGCCCGGGTTCTGAGCCAGGGCCCAGCAGAAGCAAGCCTGGGGGAGCTGGTTCCTGCAGCCCCCTGGGGTGACTCACCACCACCGCCTCCCACCACGGCCACCGCAGACATTCCAGGCCCAGTCTGCAGACGGCCTGGGTGACTCAGAGCACTGGCCGCAGCCTCCCAGTGGAGCCCTGCTTTTGAAGTCCACTTGGTCTTCAGACTTGGGGCTGACTCAGAGAGCTGACTTCCCTCTCAGACCCTTTGCACACCTCCTGCAGAGGGGACAAGGGATGACATGATGCCCGGCGGACGTAAACCAAGTCATCTGGGATACCCGGATTCCTCAAAGGCTCCCTGCGCTTTGCTCACAATCACACCACAGTCACGGCTGAGGTCCTGAGTTTTGCCCACACACTCCCTCAACGTCACTTAGGTCGAGATAAGCACTTTTCAGAGAAGTCTTCCAGAAAGGATGCACTCCGGGCAGGTGTTTAGGGAAGGTGCTTGGAACTCCCACATCCCACATGGCGATGCCTGGGTTTGAGTCCTGGCCCTGCTCCCGATTCCAGCTTCCTGCTAATGCATCCTGGGAGGCAGCAGGTGATGGCTCAAGTAGTGGGGTTCCTGACACTCATGTGGGAGACCCAGATTGAGACCTAGGCTCCTGGTTTCAGCCTGGCTGTTGTGGGTGTTTGGGGAGTAAACCAACAGATGGAAGATTCTTTCTCTCTCTCTCTCTCTCTCTCTCTCTCAGCCTTTCATAAAAATAGATACAAATTAATAAATAAAAAAATGGAGGGGCCGGTGCTGTGGTGCAGTGAGTTAAAGCCCTGATCAGCAGCGCCAGCATCCCATATGGGCACCGGTTTGAGTCCCAGCTGCTCCACTTCTGGTAGCAAGTAAAACCACTGTCTGTAATCACGGCCTTCCATATGGGCACCAGTTCCTGTCTCGGCTGCTCTGTTTCCCATCCAGCTCCCTGCTAATGCACCTGGGAAAGCAGCAGAAGATGGTCCAACTGTTTAGACAGTTGCCACCCATATGGAAAATCCAGATGAAACTCCTGGCTTTAGCCTGGCCCAGCCCTGGCCATTGTGGCCATTTGGGGAGTGAACCAGCAGATGGAAGATCTCTCTCTCTCTCTCTCTCTCTCTCTCTGTAAATCTGACTTTCAAATAAATAAATGGGGCCGGCACTGTGGCACAGCAGGTAAAGCTGCCGTCTGCAGTGCCAGCATCCCATATGGGCACCAGTTTGAGTCTCAGCTGTTCCATTTCTGGTCCAGCGTCCTGCTATGGCCTGGGAAAGCAGTAGAAGATGGTGCAAGTCCTTGGGCCCCTGCACCCACGTGGGAGACCCAGAAGAAGCTCTTAACTCCTGGCTTTGGATCGGTGCAGCTCCGGCCGTCGAAGCCATCTGGGGAGTGA